CAGAACAATATCGCAGTTTTCTGTCCAGGCTTAACAGATGGCTCACTGGGAGACATGTTTTACTTTCATTCTTTCCGCAGTCTAGGTCTGATCGTTGATGTAGTGCAAGGTATGCTGCTCGTTACTTTTTCATTGCAGCTGATAATTAACTTGGGAAAATGTAATCACAAGATAGCATGCCTTGGAATAGATATTAGGGCCATGAACGGCGAAGCTGTCCATGCAAATCCAAGGAAGACTGGAACGATCATTCTCGGAGGGGGCCTGCCCAAACACCAAATTTGCAATGCCAACATGATGCGTAATGGTGCGGATTATGCTGTCTTCATCAATACTGCACCAAAGTTTGATAGGAGTGATTCTGGAGCTCATCCGGATGAGGCTGTATCATGGGGGAAAATACGGGGTTCTGCTAAAACTGAGGTATTACCTAACCTATGTCATATCTTCACTATGCCCATTCCCTTTTAGCTCTCATTTTTGTTTGCATTATAATATATACTTCTATCCACCAAATGCTAACCCTTCCAGCGTTTTATCCATCTGTTTAATTTCCCTCCTTTTGATTGGTTGAACCAGGTACATTGCAATGCAACAATTGCTTTCCCTTTGCTGGTTGCTGAAACATTTGCCAAGAAAGCTGTCGAGACCATGACTTAATATATAGTTTCATTGTGAAGATTGATTTATGATATAGAGTTTCAAGTAGTCGTGATGAAGCTGATAACTGCTGGATGGGGCTCAGCAGACATGATAATTACCACATTGTATTCAAGGGTTTGCAAGATCCTATGTAGGATTAAGAATACAGAAATTCACATTTTTCCCCTTGTGTTAGATTTTTGGTCTATCGTAGGGGTTGAGATGACATACTAGGGGAATTTACTTGTTATTTCTGATCATTTTATTCAAATTCAAGTTCGAACTCCTATATGAATGCTAAGTCCATTTACTTAAGAGGTATATATCCCTATTCTCTAGTTAGGCTAAAATTCTTGTCAAATTGTTATGTTCACCAAATTACGCCACTTTTAAGCCATTCCTGATACCTCCATGAAAATTAAAAAAATGTTTGGGCTTTTTTATAAAATTGGGCTGGGCTTGTTTTGGGGGTTTTTTGAGTGTTTTTTTGTTTTTTTTTTCTGGTGGCCATCAGTGGCAGTCCTGTAATTTATAGGAACTTCAACACCAATTTCTTATATGGTAAATGGATTTTGGGTGTGTTTCTAAAGTGCATTCCATATGGGGTTTTTTTATAATTTCAGCTCCTATTTTGGGTATATTAGTGAAGCTCCCTATACTTAATGTATGTATTCTGTGTTTTTTGCCCTGCTTTCAACGAATCCTACTGTTTTGTTATAAATAAAAAAAACTCTATTATAATTATTTTTTTGAAGAGTTTAGGGTTAACTATGTAAAACCTTTCAAATTTTAAATGTTAATCATGTAAGATCCTACAAAACTCACACACAACACAACACCGTGAGTACAACTATTAAACGATGACATGACAAGTGTGAGTTCCATTTTTCTACTAATGTGGCAATTTCACGAATTTTTATTCTAGAAAGTTAACATGTAAAAGCTCATAAATTTTCTTTTTAAACAAAAGAGAGCCGTAAAAATGAAACAATAATATTACCATTCATAATTCATGGAAGAAAAAAAAAAACATTACAAACTACACTTATCCATAACAAGTTTTTATATTCTAAAATATTGCATTATAATCTCATCATCAATATAAGCAAAAACATATTTCTCAATCTAAAGAACCAAACCATAAGAATGGCTCATGAGCATCTCGTCAGAGGACAACTAATAGATAAGGCTGATGTGAATGCATTTGGTGTGATGGTTCTTGACATTGCACACGGCATGAAGTAAAGGAAATCTTTATAAAAACATGAGTTTCATTTAAGAAATGTGTCATATGGTGAATCCCAAGAATGCGATGAGCTTCTTTACTTATGCGCTTTCATGCATAAGCAACTCAGACTACGTACAATTGAAGAAGAAATGTGTTGTATGGTGAATTCGAAGACTTAACAGCAGCGCCTGTGAAGAATGTCTCCTCAAAAGTCCCCATCAGTTGAACATTAGCTCTTTTGTATCCACGTGCAAGCATAAATAGGTTGCTCCTTAGTACGCCATCTCCAATCATATCGAGGCTAAACTTAAATTTTCACTTTTCAAAATATAATTATTCATGTATTTTTAGGATTCAAATATTTTTTTCCTCCAACCTTGCAAACTTATAATTTGAGTTCGCAACTTTATTAAATTATTTAAGAATGATTAACCCTTAAATTTTTAGGAGTTTCACTAAAACACCCAAAATATGGACTGAAATTATAAAAAAACCCAACACCCAAAATACTTTATAAACACATCCAAAACTCATTATTACACACACTCAAAATCCATTGATAAACACACCCAAAAAATATACAATTATTGATTTTGGGTGTGTTTCTATGTTTAAATAGTGTTTGAATTTTTTTATAAATACATGTCTAGGATTGAGTTTATTTATAAATTTGTATAAATTTTTTTGTTATTATTTTTTTTTTGACATTATTTTCTAAACATTTTAATCTAAAAAAATTGAAATTCCATAAACATAATATTTTTTTTTCGCTTAAAATTAAAGTGAGAATGATTGTAGAGTTTGAGAGTGGGATCTCATTTAGATAAATTAAAAATATTATTTTAACCATTTGATTTTAATTTCGACCATTGGATCTTCTTTTTCTCGTTGAAATCAAGTTGAAAAAATTTGTTCCGTTTGTTGGTGTGTAATCCTTCAGCCGAGTTTTTGGAGCTAAAGGAATTGTGTCTGCTCTGTTTTCATTTCTTTTAGTAGTTTATCTTTTTTTCTTCAACTTTATTGTGCACCCTTGGATCACAGTCCAAGTGTTTTAATCTCTAGCATAGGATTAAGTGACATGTGTAAGCATCTAATAGGATGCTAGAACTTGAGCTTATTGTAAATATGGTACAGGGAAGAATATCTCTTTTTTTTCTTCTCTCTGCCTAACGATTATAACCAAA